GTAACCCACTTGAGCTCACTGGTCAATCTTTAACTGAAATTGTTTAAGCATCAACACAGTTTGGTATGGAAATTGCAATAGCAGATTCAGATTTGATGATGTGATGACTCAAGTTCAAGTGAAATGTTTGAATTATTTGTTTCCAAGGAAGAATTAGTGGTAAAGTTAAGTCAGCAGCAATCCTTAAATAACATCTCTGAGGATGTAACATGTTTGATTCACCAGTTAGACAATCATGGGGGATAAATGAAGACTTTTAACCTAATCTACAATTTGAAGTTAAGATATTACATATAACAACACAAATGTATCAGCAGATTGGAAATAAATATTTACTTAACCAGATGGAAGATGGGCTGCATACAACTTGATGGAGGTGAACACTGGGGTGGGATGACAGACATCCACAGATTAAGGACATGGTCAAGAAGAAACTACCTGATACAGCAATCCAGGATACTGATATAAAAAAAAAATGCCTTGTCCAGAAATGCAGGATCCTGCAAAAAGGAAAATACCTTTTCAACAGTGCAGCCATCTTCCATGAAAGAAATCATGAGATTAAACGTCGCCTAGGTGATGTTATGGGGCAACTACTTGATTCAGCAGGATAAAATTACCAGTGAAAGCAGTTAGGAGATTAACAGTTTTCCAGATGTGGTAATTGACCAACTATTTGGTTGAGCAGGAACAATATCCTCAACCCAGGACATCTATATTAAAATTCAACATATTAAAGTTAATCTTTCTATGCACCTTCTCTGTAGCTGTAACACTATATTTCTGCATTCTGTTCTATCACCCTGATGTACTAATGTAAGGTGTGATTTGCCTGTATAGCACGCAAAACAATTCTTTTCACTCTATCTCGGTACATGTAGCAATAATAAATCAAATCAAATCAAATCCAAGAGGTAAGATATCCTCCAGTGTAGAAAACTATTCCATCCCTGTTCTGGGAGTATTTGATGGGGGGTAGTTTTGGGTGAGTTTACCTTCAGTTTAAAAAAGTAGAGAGAGCTTTACTCTGTATGTAACATCATGCTTTACCTGTACTGGGAGCGTTTAATGAAGACAGTGCAGAGGGATCTTTATTCTCTACTTAACTCCATACTGTCACAGTCCCATGAGTATTTGACAGGAACAGTGTCAAGCAAGTTTTACTTTCAGCTTACTTTCAATTTTAAAAGCGAGTGGGAGCTTTACTCTGCATCTAACCCTGAGCTGTCCCTGTCCTGGGAGTGTTTAATGGAGACAATGCGGAGGAACATTTATGTTGTGTTTAAAAGAGGAGAGAGAGCTTTACTTTCTGTTTACTTATAGAATCATAGAATCCCTAAAGTGTGGAAGCAGGCCATTTGGCCCATCGAAGCCATACCAACCCTCTGAAGAGCATCGCACCCAGACCCACTCCCTTCCCATAACTCCACAGTTATCATAGCTAACCCACCTAGCCTATACATCCCTGGACATGACAGGGATTTAAAAGAGTCAAGCGAGCTTTACCTTCGCTTTAAAAGAGTTGAGAGAGCTATACTCTGTATCTAATCGCATGTTATACCTGTCCTGGAAGTGTTTGATGGGGACAGCGCACAAGGAGCTTTACTTTCAGCTTAACACAGTAGAGGTAGCTGTACTTTGACTTTAAAAAAGGTAGAGAGAGCTTAAGTCTGCATCTAAACCCATGTTGTACCTGTTCTGGGAGTATCACATGGGGATAGTGTGAAGGGAGCTTTATTCTGTATTTAACCCTGTGCTGTACCTATCCATGGAGTGTTTGATGGGGACAGTGTTGAGGGAGCTTTAGTTTCAGCTTGAAACAGTAGAAAGCCATTCCAGACAATCCAGGGATAAGAGCAGAATCAAGGTAAACAATCTTGAATCCGATGACCTATCAATCTTTTCAAAGGAGAGTATCCTGAAAGAATTGAGCTCTCCAGAGTATGTGAATCTGTCCAGTCAGTGATCTGGAGTAATCAGAGGTTGGATAATGGTAAATGTAACTGTATTCGTTAATGCATCAATGTTAACTATGACAAATAAAAGCTTGAGGGGAAACTGTTAGTATCGGGTAATGGTTCTGAAATAGTTAATATTGGAAACTGCATTAGGATCCACCCAATCCACAAACATTCACTCACTCTACCACCGATGCTCAGACACAGCAGTATATATAAGATGTACTGCAGAAATTCACTAAAGATTCTCAGACAGCACCTTCCAAAACCACAACCATTACAATCTAGAAGGATTGGGCAGCAAATACAAGGGAACATCATTACCACCTTCTGATTCCCCACCAAGCCACTCATCATCCGGACCTGGAAATATATGCCATTCCTTCATTGTTAACTAAGTGAAAAACCTGGAATTCCAGCCCTAATGCAATTGTGTGTCTACCTACAGCACATGGACTGCAGTGGTTCAAAAAGGCAGCTCAGTTTTCTTAAGGGCAGTGAGGGATAGGCAATAAATGATGATCCAGTCAGCAATGCCCATGTGTGAATAAAAAAAGGGCATATTATGAGGATTTGGATAGGGAAAAGGCAGAACATCCAGTAGAGTGAAGATCAAAATCCTAGGTTGCATTATAGTCTCAGCAACAATTTAAATTAACTTATAGGTGTAATTTGTACCTGATTGCTATCATGCAATAGTCTACAACTTGTTTAAGACAAGATACCCTTCTTCTTGAGGCTCACTAATGGCTTTTCTCTACCACTGAAAAACAAGTTAGCCCTGACAGCCTGCCAAGGAAGGAGGATGATAGCAACAAATTTGTTAAGAAAAGAGGATGATGCCAGTGAACTGCCCCAACCATACACTGGTAATGGTTGGCATTACATCACATAAACACAGGCCAACTAATTGCACAGATTAGTTAGGGGCTCAGTAGACAGGATGGGGTTTCAGGAGGGCTTATGTGTTGGAAGGTAGAGTTGCCAGCTCTGTTGGACATGTTTCTGAGGCTTGTTCTTGACCACAGAGCTATTGCTGATATCTAGCCATGAAGCCGAATCTTGTAGGGGCCTAACCAATGTGGGCTGCGGCAAGATTTATGGCAGAATTGCACCCAAAGTCTGGTGAAACTTCAATGTCAGGAGCAATTTGCTGTATTTTTACACATCTGCCAAGTGGCATGGTAAATTTCTCATGAGGAACTAGTGAATTGCCAATGAAGACACACTATAGCTTGTTAAACACCTTATTAACACTATGACTTGCCCATTTGGTATTCAGCTTCCAATTTTGCCAAACACATTAAACAAGTTGGATGTTGAGAATTGTCAACGTGGGAGTCAGAGCAAGTGTCTTGTGACTTCAGCTCTCTGCTTTCTCAAAAGGATCTCCATATTGGAACCTAGGCATAAACATCTCTCAGCTCACTCCATGGGCCCCAGCTGTATTCACATTCACAGACATTGACATTGAACATATGCTAGCCTCTAAGAGCCCTCATGGCACATTTCCAAACCACTTACAGGATGCTTCTGCATTTCAAAGTTGCACATTGGGCTGCACTGGTAATTATCATTATACATAAGAACATAAATACTAGGAGTGGGAATTGACAATTAAGCCCCTTGATCCTATTCCGCCAATCAACACGATCATGGCTGATCTCATCTCAGCCTCAATTCCACTTTCCTGCCTGCTCCCCCTTAACTCTTCAATCCATTACTAATTTAAAATCTGTCTCTTTCCTCCTTAAGTTTAGTCAGTGTCTTGGCATCCACTGCGCTCTGGGGTAGTGAATTCCACAGATTAATGACTCTTTAAGAAATGTAATTCCTCCTCATCTCTGATATAAATCTGCTACCCCTTATCCTAAAACTATCACGGCTCATTCTCGCTCCATAAGAGGAAACATTCTTTCTATGTCTACTTTGGCAATCCCCTTTAGCATCTTTTATACTTCAGTTAGATCTCTCTCTCTTCTAAACTCTAGAGAGACTCTTTAGGTCCAGATAGACCTAAATTATTCAGTCTGTCTTCATAAGACAAATCCCTCATGTCTAGAATCAATCTAGTGAATGTCCTCTGAACTGCCTCCAATGCACCTACATCTCTCCTCAAGTAATGGGACCAAACTGTAAGGTTCTGAAGAAGGGTCTAGGCCCGAAATGTCAGCTTTCCTGCTCCTCTGATGCTGCTTGGCCTGCTGTGTTCATCCAGCTCTACACCTTGTTATCTCAGGTCTCAGTAATGCCTTGTACAGGTGTAGCATACTTCCCTACTTTTATATTCCATTCCTCTAGCAATAAGTACTAAAATTCCATTTGTCTTCCTTATTATCTGCTGTACCTAGATACTAGTTCTCTGTGATTCATGTATAAGGACGTCCAGATGTCTCTGCATCGAAGCACTCCGAAGTTTCTCTCCATTTAGATAATAAGTTTACTTTCTGTTCCTCCAATCAAAATGGATAATATCATACTTATCCACGTTGAACTCTATCTGCCAAATTTTGGCCCATTCACCTAATCTATCCATATAGATTTGTAAATTCCTTATTTCTTCATTGCAACTTACTTTCCCATCTATATTAGTGTCATTTGCAAATTTGGCTATAGTACCTTCTATCCCTGCATCCGAGTCATTAATACAGGTCTTAAATTGTTGGGACTCAAGGACTGAATCATGTGGCACCCCACTAGTTATACCTTGCCAACCGGAAAAAGACCAATTCATTCCGACTCTCTGCCTCCTGATGCTTAGCCAATCCTCTGTCCAAGCTAATATAGAAGCCTCAACACCATGTGATCTTACCTTGTGTATTAAGCTTCTGTGTGGCACCTTATCAAATGCCTTCTGGGAAAACTGATAGAGATCATAATATGGGATAAAGTAAATATATTCTTAGAAAAAAAAAGTTAATACTAATCGGTCAACATAGCTTTGACAAGGGCTGGTCATGTCTGACAAATTTAATTGACACAGGCAATGGATGAGGGTAGTGCTGTATGTTCTTGCTAATTCAATCATTTTTATTTTAACAGTTGTTTGGGGAAAATGACCAAGTTCAGATGATTTCTGAGGGCTCAGACTGCCGTTGCAAATGCATCATGAGACCTCTGACAAAGGATGCATGCAGTCGCATCAGAAATGGGAGCTTACGTTTTGAAGACTTCTACACAGTTGAAACTGTCAGTTCTGGGACAGACTGTAAGTGTTCCTGTACAGCTCCCCCATCATCTCTCAACCCTTGTGAAAATGAGTGGAGAATGGAAAAACTCAGAAAACAGGCTCCAGAATTCTTTAAGGTACACAAAAATACAGTAACAATTTAACTCCTGAAAACAATGAAACTGCTAAAACTAGTTTCAGTGATGCCTATTATTTTATGTTACAGTTAATTATTATTGTGCCTGTTAAATCTGTTGAATGAATGCTTTAATGAAATCCATTTCCAACATTCTGTGAGAATGCAATATTCAGAGACAAGATGTTACAGGTGACCAGAACACCACAAGAAATAAGAACAGGAGTAGGCTGTTCAGCCCCTCAAACCTGATCCACCACTCGATAGGGTCATGGCTGATACAATGTTACTCACGTCCACCTTCTTGTCTTTTCCCTGTAACCGTGATTCCCCTACTGATCAGAAATCTATTCATCTCAGCTTTAAATATATACAATGTCTCTGCTTCCACAGCTGTCTATGGCATGGAGTTATAAAGACTCACAACCCTCTGAGAGAAGAAATTCCTCCTTTTTTCAGTCTTAAATTTACACTCCTTTATTCTGAGACTGTGCCCTCTGGTCCTAGATTCTTGCATGTTGGGGGAGACATGGAGTCATAGAGTCATACAGCACGGAAACATACCCTTCAGTCCAACTCATCCATGCCAACCAGATATCCTAAACTGATCTAGTCCCATTTGCCAGCATTTGGCCCATATTCCTCTCAACCCTTCCTATTCATGTACCCATCCAGATGCCTTTTAAATGTTGTAATAGTACCTGTCTCCAACACTTCCTCTGGAAGCTCGATCCATACACGTACCACCCTCTGCATGAAAAAGTTGTCCACCAGTTCCCTTTTAAATCTTTCCCCCCTGCCCTTAGACCTATGCCCTCTAGTTTTGGACTTGTGTACTCTGGGAGAAAGGCCTTTCCATGCCCCTCATGATTTAATAAACCTTTATACCATCATCCCACAGCCTCATCTCTCAGCATTTACCCTGTGAAGCCCCTTAAGAAGCCTATATGGCTTGATGAGATCACCTGTCATTCTGCTAGACTCCACTGAGAGGAGTCCCAACCTGTTTAACTTCTGTTCATAAGACAATCCCTTCGTATCACGGATCATGCGAGAGAACTTTCTCTGAACTTTCTCCAATGAAACAAAATCTTTCCTTAAAAAAGGATGACCAAAACTGCTCACAGTACTCCAGATGTCATCTCACCAGCATCTTGTGCAGTTGCAGTAAGGCTTCCCTACTCTTATTCTTTAACCGCCTTGAAATAAGGGTCAACATTCCATTAGCCTTTCTGATTACCTGTGTGTTAGCTTTCTATGTTTTGTGCACATGTATTTCCAAGTCTTTGGGATGCCGCTTTCTGCAGCTTTTGTCCATTTTAATAATACTGTTTTTTTGTTTTCCTTCCTTCATATTTTCCCACTTTATATTCCATTTATCAATTTTTTGCCCACTTACTCAAACTATTGATATCTCTCTATTAACTGTTTCTATACCCTTCATAACTTGCCTTTCCAACTATTATTGTAACATCTGCAAATTTAGCTACAGTACATTCACTTCCTTCCTCCAAGTAATTTACATATGTAGTAAATAGTTGCAGTCCCAGCAACTAATTCAGGATGTTCAAAAGATGAGAACTAGGCAATGAATATATGGTTGGTAGCTCATACATGGGTCAAATACCAAGGTTATGAACAGACTAGCTTAAACATAAACTGTTGCCTGCAAGAGGGATGATCACTAAAGAATGGAATTTAGAGTGGGGATCAAAAATAATGGTCTCAGGCTTCCTAATATTTAATTGGAGAAACATTTGCTCATACAGTTCTGCATTTTAGATAAGCAGTATGAGCACTTGGAGAGCAATCAAGAAAGATGGTGATGCAATTATATTGTCTTAGAAATTGTATGAAAGAAACACTGACATTTTCCTACAAACACATAGTAACATACATAGCAAATAGGAAATGATGGGTTTCACCTAATTTATAAATGTAAAATGTTTCAAAAACATGTGCCACAGTCTAAATGTAATACCAAGTGCAAATACCATGGAGGAAAAATTGAAAGTTTACAAGTTATTTGCTGTTGATAAGGAATTTTGTAAATTAGCCAGGCGTTGAACGCAAGCTCTTGGCAAACTGCAACTTTTATACAGCAACAACAGTTAAACTATGATTATTTATGGCTTTTGCAAATTTACAATAGTTAAGTGGAGTTAAAGGCCAGAATTTTAATCTAAACTAACGGGCTAGTTTTAGCTAGGCTTGTTTGGTCGATGGGTAGGGCTGACAGGAGATAAAGGTCTTAAAAGCCAGATTCTTCACTCAAATCTGCTCATTTTCCACTTTAACAGAGGTTGAGAGATCGGTGGCCAACAAACCAGCTCCACAGGGACAGATAGTAGTTCTAAATATAACAATGAGACTGGGAGCAACATTGTCATTCAGCATTTCAACAATTAACTTGAGTCAGCCAGGTTTCCTGAGCCACAGGAAATCCAACAAATACATCCAGTGAGGACTTGGCAGATTCAAGAAGAGAATGTCTTTACGTCTACCTCCTGTATCCAGCATGTTTACCTAAAAAAACCCTGCAATTAGACACTTTTCCTTATTTTTTCCCATAAGTCCTTCAACCCAGCCTGCAATCACCCCACCTCTTATCTTCTCCAGACTTCCCTCCAAACTGATGCTTCTTCCAAGCCCCTGCACTTCCTTACCAAAATTCAGAACTCTCACCCAAGGCTCCTGTTCCCACTTTGCAGGCCCCTGACCATTTTCCCTGCCATCAACCAGGCCCCAGCCTCCTCACCACATCTGAGACTACTTCTGTCCAACCAGGCCTCCAGTTGACTCCTTTGTAAGACATTCAAAATCCTGCAACTGCCTTCCTGCTGATATTGTGGGTGTGCCTAAACTAAATGGACTGCAGCAACTCAAGCAGGCAGCTCATCACCTTCTCTCAAGTAACTAGCGATGGGCATTAAATGCTCACTCAGCCAGTGATACCCACATTCCATAAATAAATAGAAAGAATCCTCACCCTCATCCACCCTTCAAATGAAAGCTTAAGATCAGCAACTCACCCAACTGATTTTTCTCAGTGCCAATCTGCTCCATGGGTTTACCTATTCCCGCGTGTACATCAACCATCTACCCTGTTTAACTGGAAGCTGAGTAAGTCAATCGGGGGATCTAATTGGTGATGTCAGGTGTAGCTCCACAGCATGCTGTGGAATCGAGCTTTCTGTTATTTCGTGACTTTCTGACTCATCCATTCCAAATGCCTGAAGTGAGTAAAATTTCAGCCAAAGTGTCAGTTCTACTTTAACGTTAGAATAACACATCATGCATTATGTGCTTCAATGTATAAAGAAATAAATGCAGAATAAAATCTGATGTGACATGAGTAACAGCAGGGGAGATATATTTGTTTAAATGAAGGTCTTGAGTCACCTCTATTGAGCTACTCAGTACCATCAGGGAGCAGCCTTAATTAGCTGCCTAGTTTGGGGAGGGTAAATAAGATCTAGTTTCCATCTTTGATCATTACCTAGTTATGCTGGGAAGTTTGACTGGACTAAGAAAACCTCAATGATAGAACAGCCTGCCATCAAGTCATAGAGTTTAAAGAATAAGCAGTTTGGCAACACACTGAAAGGTACTCAGTCTTGTTAACCTGTATCTCTGCAAAGGGAGATGGTGACATAGAAACATAGAGTATAGGAGCAGGAGGAAGCCATTTGGCACTTCAAGCCTACTCTGCCCTTCATTACGATCATGGCTGTTTGTCCAACTCAATAGCCTAATCCTGCTTTCTCCCCACAATCTTTGATACCATTCACCCCAAGTGCTATATCTGGCTGCCTCTTGAATACATTCAATGTTTTGGCATCAACTAATTCCTGTGGTAATGAATTCCACAGCTCACCACTCTTTTGGTGAAGAAATGTCTCCTCATCTCTTTCCTCAATGGTCTACCCCTGGTTCTGGACACACCCACCATCAGGAACATCCTCCCTGAATCTACCCTGTCTAGTCCTGTTAGAATTTTATATGTCTCTTTGAGATTCCCCCCTCATTCATCTGAACTCCAGCGAAAACAATCCCAACCTAGTCAATCTCTCCTCATATGTCAGACTCACCATCCCTGGAATCAGCCTGGTAATCCTTCGCTGCACTCCCTTGAGAGCAAGAGCATCCTTCCTCAGAAAAGGAGACCAAAACTGCACACAATATTCCAGGTGTGGTCTCACTAAGGCCCTTATAACTGCAACAACACATCCCTGCTCCTGTACTCGAAACCTCTCGCAATGAAGGCCAACATACCGTTTGCCTTCTTTTCCACCTGCTGCACCTGCATGCTTACCTTCAGTGACTGGTGCACAAAGACACCCAGGTCCCACTGCACAATCCTCTCTCCCAATTTGCAGTCATTCAGGTAGTAATCTGACTTCTTGTTTTTGCTTCCAATGTGAATAACCTCACATTTATCCAAATTATACTGCCATCTGACATAGTGTTAATGTCACTGGACTAGTAATCTAGAGACCCAAGCTAATGCTTTGAGGACATGGGTTTAAATCCCAGCAGGCTACCTAGTGAAATTTTAATTCAACTAATAAATCTGCAATATCCAGCTGCTCTCAGTAATGGTGACCGTGGCAACCATCATCAGATGTTGTAAAAACCCTTCTGGTTCACTAATGCCCAGATCTGGATATTCCACTGGCAGCCTTATGGCAATTGTACATCAGGATCTGGAATCCTCAGCATGCAGACTCCGAGAAAATTGCTGGGAAACTGAAGATTCCATTGGGCAATTCTGCTATGCCTGGAACTTTCTGAGAGTATCCATTTTAAATCAGAGAACTTGGAAGTTCTGCTGCAATGAATTCAATAGTTATTCAGGAAATATTAGACAATTAGAAACATAGTTTAACTCCAAAGTAACGATTAAAGTGACCTCTCCCCCTTCCCTATTACATCTTCCCTGGAATCCTGGCACCCTACTTACCTGGCACGCTTGCACCCTGTTTGGCACCCTATCCCCGGCACTGCAACCTCACATTTACTTTACATGCTTACCCTTTCAGATGAGCTGTCAAAGTGGCTGACTGGATGCTAGACATTTAAATCACGGAATAGGACAACTGATTTTCCATGTTGTCCACATTCCCGTACAAAATACTGCTTTCCGAGAAAAAGAGAAAATGATGATAAAATAAATTTTAGTTGAAACCCTCACAAGATCACTATGGATTTTAAATTCTGCATGTTCTGAAACATTGCAGAAGTTAATTTTCACATTGTCTAACCATTTTTTTTTCTGGTCTTGATCTAGTTGCAGTCACTGGTTGATCTCCTTGAAGGAACCTTGTATAGTATCGATATGATGAAGGTTCACTCTTATATACAAAAAGTAACAACACAGATGAATAACCTAGAAGAGGTGATGTAACATAAATTCACTATCATGTTAGTCACTGTTTGAAATTCAATATACCAAAGAACACACATATATATAGTTTTCATTTAGTTTAGCAAAGCACAAATCCAAGCAACAGCTTTACTTACACTAAATTTATCTCTATAAAGATGAAGATAACTTATTGGGAGAATCAAAATTGTTTCAAAGCAAACATTGCTTGTACACGACAAGAAGTAAATTGTCCAAATTTCAATGTTTATGAGTGACAATGTATATTAGCGTTGCAAATTCTGAGTTTATATTATTGAAAATTCAAGATCAAGAAGTCAATTGGTTGCAAGCAATTTCAAATTAAAATGAATCTAAAGTAGTATATCATTATAAATGATTAAAAAGTAATCACCTGTCTAATCAAGGAGTTGAACACAGATTGAGAAGTGTAAGAGTACAATTTGGATGTCACATATTTGTTATTTGTGTCTCAAATTTGGATAATTGCCTTCAATTAGTTTAGTTATTACTCAGTCAGAAGTCACATGACACCAGGTTGTAGTCCAACAGATTTATTTGAAATCACAAGCTTTCAGAGCACTGCACCTTCATCAAGTGGAGGGAAGCACACAGGCACAGAATTATAGGCAGAGAGATAATGGCAATATAATTCCACATAATTACGAGTGTCATAAGATAAGTACAAATAGTGTGAGTGGAGTGTCGGCACGCTGAATAACAAGTCTTTACAGGTGATCAAAAGCGTCACTGACACTTTACTTACACTGTTTGACGCTTTTGATCACCTGTAAAGACTTGTTATTCAGCATGCCGACACTCCACTCACACTATTTGTACTTATCTTATGACACTCGT